GGGATTCAGTGTGATGGAAAAATGTCGAAATGCAAATAGTGAACTCAAAAAATATCGGAAGAAATGGCGTGTCCTGAAAATGGCCACTCTAATCACTTGCAGTTCATTGTTATTGTTTTATAATTCTTATAAAGTAGGTTTTTATCTAGTAGTAATAGAAATGAGAATTAGTTGATATAAACGTCTTAGAAGAATTGCATGGAGAACTATCATATAGTTAAAATTCTATTGTTATAGGTGAAGTTGTTTCATCTTCAACAGCTGGAGCTTCATAAAAATCTCTAGCTATTTTATAGATTAGTTCACATAAAGCTAAATATTCATGGATAGAAGACGCGTAGATTTGTCTAGATTGAATAAAATAACCCCTACCACTAAATATTGAATATGTACAGATAATGGGTTTTTCGGTTTTTACGAAAATTTAGCAGAAAGACTAAAACAAACGGAAAGAATTGCTATTGAACATCATATAGATAGTCTTGGTGAATGATACTATATTGGTGTTATGAATGCTGTAGAACAGTTAGATGGTTTGTCATTTGCAGGTGTTAAATGGAAAAAGCGAGATATTATTGATGTTACTAATCTCCTATATTTGATTTCTGTCACAATGTTAATACCGATTTGTGTCATAAAATATGTTCTTTGATATTCAAAATTCTTTAAAACATTTAGCGATTGTTTTCATATGCCTATAATTTTTCCAAACTTTTCTCCAAAGATATTTTTCTCTTTCGACGTTTCATCCCTTTGTTCTTTCAATATTTCTCGTATAAATCAAAGATCCTTTCCAGATTCGTATATTTTTCCTGATAACGTCACTCATCTGTGAAAAAAGGTTGCAGCTACGAAATCTGATAATTCTGACATGATTCGATCCAAGATACTCTAAGATTCTGACAAGAGCGCCATTAAATTTCAGCTAGTATTTTGCCACGAACCCGCGAGTGTCGTAAAAAGTGTGTAATCACAAAATTTCAGGATCCCAAAGGACTAGAGACATGATTCTATCAGAATCCTAGACAGATTATGACTATTTGAGCGCCAATAATCTTGGGGCAAACCTAGAGTGCACATGAACAGAAGATAATCTTATGTCAACCAAAAGCCTTCGCCGCGACAAAAACTCTTACGTTAACCCTCAAAAGGCGGGTGTCCCTTCCAAGGAACATTCTATATCTCCATAAGAAAAAAGAATTTTGTTTTCTTTACTATTAATTATTTTTATTGAGGTTTCGGAACTTCTATTTTAGTGGTAAATTTTTTAAATTTGTGACGATAAGACCGTTCAGCTTTTAAGGGTAAATAGTCCTTTTTAACTTATGTAAGAAGTAGAGTGGATCCTTGTATGAAGATCCTATCCTGTATCTCACGAAAACTTGACAAAACTCTGGAGAAAATTGTCGTTCTTACTCTTCTAATGGCCATTAGAAGAATCAGTACCGAATCCTGAACGCATCACGTTTGAACCACTACGAAAAAGGTCTGGGCAGGAATCACACGAAATTCTATTAGGAGCCTGTCTAACCAAAATATTCCTAAGCAGTAACAAGAGTTATCAGGAGTTAAGGCAGAATCCTGTGAAAAACTTCACAACATCCTTGCGGTTCTGGATCGTACAAGAACCTGGGAGTGGTTCTCAACAAATGGAAAAGATTAAGAATAGAGTCACTAATATCAGACGATATCATGTTGATACCCAATCGCACAATAAACAGTAGATGACTGCTAACAATTGCTAAGACCAAATGCCGTGCCACAATTCGGGGACTCAAAAAGAAAAAGGTGCAGATCAGCTCCAGATAGCCATGAAGGTAAGGTATGAAACGACAATAATAGCAACAACTACCTCTACTGGTGAAGAATGCTGGCTCCCACATCCGTTAAAGCCACATACAAACTACGAAAAATCAAATGATGGGTCTTCAAGAGCCATATAATATATCTCCTTAGAGCCGTTACCAGTATAAAGTCAACACTCCGAAATATCTAGCAAACGCAATAAAAAGAAACACTTCACACGTCACACGTCACAAGTACAGACAGAGACTACTACCGGATGACAGTACGAGACAGATTGCTCCACCCGTTCCATAGAAGCTGGCGAGCTCTCCACACTTCCTTATGTTGTCTAGGCACTGTTTTCGATATCTCGGTCTCAAGTGTATAAAGAATTATCGACAACAAAATTATATACTTGAGGAAAGAGAGTGAGTAATACCGTTATATAGCCTACAGTAACATAGGAATACTAGTATAATATACTGCATGAATTGTTGTGCGGGCTCTCCGTTATAGAGTAGCTGGTGTCGTAAGCGTACTCCCACCATATAGCAGTTGATGACCCAATGGTACCCTCTGTATATAGTATATGATGACCCGAGGGTACCTCCAATATATAGTATCTAAGGACCTAATGGTCCCTCCAATATATAGTATATGAGGACCCAAGGGTACCTCCAATATATAGTATATAAGGACCCAAGGATACCCCGAATATACAGTATATGATGACCCAAGAGTACCCCCAATATATAGGATCTAAGAACCCAAGGGTGCCTCCAATATATAGTATATGATGACCCAAGAGTACCCCCAATATATAGTATATAAGGACCCAAGGGTGCCCCCAATATATAGTAGTTGATGACCAAAGGATACCTCCAATATATAGTATATAAGGAACCAAGAGTACTCCCAATATATAGTATATAAGGACTCAAGGGTACCCCCGATATATAGTAGTTGATGACCCAAGGGTACCTCCAATATTTAGTATATAAGGACCCAAGGGTATCCCCAATATATAGTGTCTAAGGATCCAAGGGTATCTCCAATATATAGTATATGATGACCCAAGAGTACCCCCAATATATAGTATATAAGGACCCAAGGGTATCCTCAATATATAGTAGTTGATGACCCAAGGATACCTCCAATATATAGTATATGAGGACCCAAGAGTACTCCAAATATATAGTATATGATGACTCAAGGGTACCCCCAATATATAGTATATTAGGACCCACGGGTGCCCCAAATATATAGTAGTTAATGACCCAAAGGGAGCCCCGTTATATGGTCGATGATTACCTATCGATGGCCCCGTTTCACAGTGCATGAAGAGTTATGGGTACTTTCATAAATGTTTATTGACTTTTATGAATTTTTAAGTAAAATTTTGTTTTACAGTTAAACATCTACTTTAAATTAAAATTTTTTAAAGTTAAAGTTTAAAGTGTGGCCACTTTAACTTTTAAAGTTAGAGTACCACTTTAAACTTTAATCACTTTAATATGTAAAGTTTAAAGTTAAAGTGCCACCCCTAGTTAAAAATCGGGTATTATGTGAATTCCCATTTCTTGGGTTGTTTTTTTTTTCTACTTTCGACTATTTTTCTTGTGCTCTACTCAATGAAGAGTGAGTACAATAAATTCATTTTTATGCTGTCTTGTACTTAACTCAAAGAAGAGGATGTACAACAGTTTTATTTTTGTTTGTATGCTGTCATGTACTTAACTCAAGGAACAGTATGTACAACAGTTTTATTTTTTTTCTACGCTGTCTTGTGCTCAATTCAATGTAGAATGAGTATAACAGTTTCTTTTTTTTGGTATGTTGCTTGTACTCAACTCAATGAAGAGTGAGTATAACTATTTCACTTTTTTCCTATCTCGTACTTAACTCAATCAAGAGTGAGTACAACAACTTAAATTTTTGTACACTCGCGTTAAACGTGTCTCACTTTTCAACGCCTTGTGTTTCTGATTACTGACTCGAATCTTGTAGATGCCCAGGAGCGTGCCTCAATTGAGGAGGGAGATGTGCCAATGGACATATCATCTTATATGATATCTTTACTTTCTCATTGTGTTCTTGTACAATCAATGTTACGTAGTGTTCATAATCGCATTACTTTTACGTTTATGTATGCTTGATTGAACCTTATTCTCTTTCTGTCGTAATGCGCTTCTCATTCCACATTCACTGGTATATTATATGTATTGCTCGCATCTATGTGTTCTTACTCGATTGTTCATTCTTACATTGTTCTCTCCCTGGCCTCATCATTTGTTCATTCTTACATTGTTCTCTCCTTGACCTCATCACTTCTTCATTCTTACATTGCATAATCTTCTGTTATATCTTACCTCTTTCGTCTCTCTCCTTATATTGTATTATCTATTCTCTCTCTTCTCTTCCATCTCTCTCCTACATAAGCTCATGTTGTGTATGAGAGTGTTACATTTGGATGTAGTGCACAGTCGAATAAACATCATGCTCACAATGAGATTAAAGACATTAATGTGCCTCTCCATTTGTCATAACCAAATTATATATATATATATATATATTTTTCGTTACAGTTAATGCTAATGCAAAAGTATTAGCATTATTTTTAACTTACTGCTAATATAACACCCCTACCTTTATGACCCTTTCTTTCAGAAAAGGGAATAAAAACAGTTATCTATGGTTATTGACAGGGTGCGTTGCTCTGAACTTCAAAGCTCTCTCCACCAAGGAAGAACCGAGCGGAAGCAGTTGCATAAAACGTTAAAAAAACTCCCATCCCCCGCCAAAAAGATGATTTTCAACTTCATCGACGAGCAGTATACAAAAAAAGTCAAACACTGATCATCTAGTTATTAAATAACCTTTCTTCTCGCCCACCTATTTCAGAAACGAGAAGTAAATTAATTTGTCGTCTCTTTCTCGATCATGTCATCAACTCCAAATCTTTGCTTTGAATTGAGCAAAATATTTGAAAGAATCTTTGAAAGAATTCATTCGTTGTGTGTTCATAGTTAATGTAATCAACTCCAAATCTTTGCTTTGGATTGAGCAAAATATTTGAAAGAATCTTTTGGAGAATTATTCATTTGTTGTGTGTGATAGTTGATGTAATCAACTCCAAATCTTTGCTTTAAATTGAGTAATATATTTGAAAGAATCTTTTCTAAGAATTATTCATTTGTTGTGTGTTGATAGTTGATGTAATCAACTCTAAATCTTTGCTTTCAATTGAGCAAAATTTTTGAAAGAATCTTTTTTGAGAATTATTCATTTGTTGTGTGTTGACAGTTGATGTAATCGACTCCAAATCTTTGCTTTCAATTGAGAAAAATTTTTGAAAGAATCTTTCGTGAGAATTATTCATTTGTTGTGTGTTGATGGTTGATGTAATCAACTCCAAATCTTTGCTTTCAATTAAGCAAAATATTTCTAAGAATCTTTGAAAGAATTATTCATTTATTGTGCGTTGATAGTT